CATAATTGGAAAGAAAGCAATAAAAACCAACAGTGGTCCCCACAAACTGTTAAAACAGCGGAGGGAGAGAGAGAGAGAGAGAGAGAGAGATCCACAGCCACAGGTCCATCACCATCAAAGCTGCTCCCGTCACAGAGCGTAAGGAGAACCCAGATTTTAAAGCTTGCACCTTCAACCGCCACTGCGACTTGCAGAAGGAACCCAGATTTTCTTTACCCTTTTTGCCCTGTAATTTTCTGATTAAAACCCCATAATTTGCTTTTTTGTCGGTTAAAAAATAGTGATTACTTACTAATTACAGTAGTTAATTAGTAAGTAATAAGCAGGTGAGGGGAGGAGGAGAAAAGCGAAAGCCGTTGAAGAATGAGACTCTGCACCACCAGCAGAGTCGGAGCAGCACAACAACTTCTGCTTTTACTGACTGCTTCTGCTGGAAGTGCTTTTTCTGCTACTTGTAACGGTCAAATTAAGTCAAGATGGGGAACTGCGGCACGAGGGAGGAATCAGCTGTGGTGACCAATGCTCAAGGTTGGTGCTTTGCTAGCTCCAGATAACTTCAAAAGTCCAGATCTTTCTGCTTAAATATTGGGATTTTATGATTTTTCAGCTTTTGGCTTATGGGGTTTGACTTATGGCTTTTTTTTACTGAGCAGTTCAGCAGCTAAGCACTCTGGTGAAGAACGGTGGCGGCGAGAGGAAGCAGAATCAAAGCCGTTCGATTTCAGATCTGATCGATCCTTCGACGCCACGCAACTTCGAGGACGCGCGGAAGAATGCGGTGCTGTACACGCACGTCATCGCCTTCACGCTCTTCGAGCTCGAGACCATCACTAAGAGCTTCCGTTCCGACTACATTTTGGGGGAAGGCGGCTTCGGGACGGTGTACAAGGGCTACATTGACGAGAACGTTCGGGTCGGGTTGAAATCTCTGCCCGTTGCCGTCAAGGTCCTCAACAAGGAGGGCTACCAGGGCCACCGCGAGTGGCTGACGGAGGTCAACTTCCTTGGCCAGCTCCGTCACCCCAATCTTGTGAAATTGATTGGATACTGCTGCGAGGACGATCACAGATTGCTGGTTTACGAGTTCATGTTCCGAGGGAGCCTCGAGAATCATCTTTTCCGGAGTAATTGAGCTCTTCATCTTTCGATTTTTCGGGTTTTGTGTGTTGGGTTTTGGTGATTTGGTGTGGCTAATTAGGGGTTTTGTGAACATTTTTAGAGGCAACTGTCCCATTGTCGTGGGGGACGAGGATGATGATTGCTCTGGGAGCTGCCAAGGGGCTTGCTTTTCTTCACAATGCCGAAAGGCCTGTGATTTATCGAGATTTCAAGACTTCGAATATCTTGCTGGATTCTGTAAGTTGCGTTTCTTGAGTTTTAAGATTCCGTATGCACAAGAAAATTAAGTGTTAATGATTGCATGCAAGCTCGAATTAGTCTCACTGATTGCATGTTGCAGGATTATGCTACCAAGCTTTCGGATTTCGGGCTTGCTAAAGCTGGACCTCAAGGGGATGAGACTCATGTATCTACTCGCGTTATGGGTACCTATGGATATGCAGCACCGGAGTATGTAATGACTGGTATGGCGTGTTCTTACATGTTCGAAATGCTTGAATTAGCTAATGTACTAGTTGGAACATGATGAATATGGATGGTTTTGATTGAATTAGTTGGGTGGGAAAGTGTCTTGATTTTTCTCGGGTAAAGATGAACAACATTTAGGTCAAGTAACTCCGAATTCTGATTGCTTCAGAAAAACTGCCTACTTGGGATGTTGGGTATCACCAGTGGTAATACCATGTCAGAAATACTGTGCTTGCTATGGAAGTAGTTGTCTTTCGACTTTCGTCCTTTCACTAGTGAAAGAAAGAGTCAGAATTTAGATTCATTGGTTTTTAAAGGGGTAGGCTGCACCTGGGTAGACACTTCCAAAGCAGGTTCTTGGAAGGGGAGATCTAGAGATTATCTTTTCTTGTGATAAACGTAAGAGGTTGTGATAAACCCCGATTTTACGTAGTACTGAATGCTTGGCTTCACTGCACTTTCTGTTTAGATCTTTTCATAAAATCTTGGCTTCTATATAGCAACTGAAAATTGATTTCATACATTCTTAGCAGCTCTATTGCAGTTTCTGGCCAGGTCTTTTCATAAATGCTTAGAGCTGTACTTAAATTCATGGATTCTTGTCAGCTTCAATGCACTTTCTGTTCAAATCTTTTCATAACTGCTAAAATTTCATTAAAAAGATAACAATGCATGAGCTGCAGAAATAGTCATTTTTTTGTTTAGATAGGAATCCCAAACCTTAAGGTGCAAATACGCATCAGTAATCAATTCTGACCGGGTTGATCTAAGATTAGAGCTCTCACTATGAGTACCCAATTCATATACATTTTATTATTGAAGTGATGACGAACCTGTTGATTTGACTCGAGAGTGTTGTTACGTCCGCTTACCCTGTTATTTATTCTCTGTAACTTGCTGATTCAAAGTATTTCCTGTGGTCCCTTTTCCACTTCAAAATTGTATATATGAGCTGATGAAGAAATGCTGACATTGGTTGCCCATGTGTTTAGTTTTCTTGCTCACATAATGTAAGGGTATTAATTTGTATGTTTTGTGCATTCTAATGTGATAATTTTCTGAATCAACTTCATGTGAAATGAGCAGGCCACCTGACTGCCAGGAGTGACGTATACAGCTTTGGAGTCGTTCTTCTTGAGCTTTTGACAGGAAGAAGATCTGTTGACAAGACGAGACCAAGCAAGGAGCAGAACCTGGTAGATTGGGCGCGGCCAAAACTGAACGACAAGAGAAAGTTGCTACAAATAATCGACCCTAGGTTGGAGAATCAGTACTCGGTCAGAGCAGCACAGAAGGCCTGCAGCTTGGCATACTACTGTCTCAGCCAAAACCCCAAAGCAAGGCCCTTAATGAGTGATGTAGTTGAAACTTTGGAACCTCTACAAAGTTGCAACGAAGCAAGTGACTCAACTGGCGGTCCATTTGCCATGACCAGAATCCCTGAGTACCGAACGCGTCACAGGTTTTCTAACAACGTAGGTCCGGGTGTTGTTTGTCGATCTCCCAACCCAAATTTATCGCCAGGAGGTCCTGCAGCGTGCAGAGTTAGATGAAAATGTCATCTGTATTGTATACTTGTTTGTACTTTGTATGAATTATCCCCCCAACCTTTTTTGCAATGACAGAATTTGCTTGTTATATATAGTATCGTTGTTGAGCATGAATCTCACATCGAAGGGAGGAGGGACGTTGGTACGTGTTTTCACATAAACAATGATAGTAAATCAAGAGCTGATCTAAACTATTATATATAATTAATGAGGAGGGAATTTTTTATGAGTATTAGGAATACAAGTCGGGGAGGAAGCCAGAAATTATGTTGAATAGGGCATCTCCAAACTATAAACTACCATTAAAATTAACAATTAAAATTTAAATTATGTTGAATAGGGCAACTCCAAACCATAAAGTAACATTAACATTAACAAATATGGTTAAATATTTGTACTACTCGTTAGTCTCGAATCTCGACTAACGAAGACAACCCATCAGTATCATCAAATACCACCTCTGTTTGTAACCATTTTATCATTTCATTTTGATCTCCCATCTGATTTCATAATTCTATAATTTCTTTCGGATCTGTGTATGTGTAATCATTAATCATTAATCTTGATCGGCCACAATGAGTTAGGGGTGAGGATCGAAGATCAGGAAGTACAAAGAGTGATCGCTTTCGCTACCTATGATCTATCTTGCAAAAGAACGGAGAATTAGGTGGAGACCTCAAGCATAGAATACAAGCTGGATGGATGAACTAGAGGAGTGCATTCAGCCTGTTGTGTAACCGCCGTATGTCATTGAAGCTCAAGGGAAAATTTTATAGGACGGCAATAAGGTCGGCGATGTTGTATGGCACAGAATTTTGGACGGTGAAGCATCAACACATACATAAAATGGGTGTAACGGAGATGAGGATGCTTCGTTGGATGTGTGGATATATGAGAAAAGATAAGATTAGGAATGAGGATATTCGAGGTAAAGTAGGAGCAGCCGAAATTGAAGGAAAGATAAGAGAAAATCGGTTACAGTGGTTTGGACATGTGCAAAGAAGGCCTACTGACGCTTCGGTTAGAAGATGCGACTACATGACAGAGATTCAAGGCCGAACGGGTAGAGGAAGACCTAGGAGCAGCCGAAATTGAAGGAAAGATTAGAGTACTTGGATCTAACGGAGGACATGACTCAGAACCGAGCGCAATGACGTTCTAAGATTCATATAGCCGACCCCACTTAGTGGGAAAAGGCTTTGTTGTTGTTGCAGGGTGTTGTCAATATTAACAAGATTATGTTATTTCATTTAAGTGGGTTGTATTACTTAGCCATGTAGTACTACATGTAGATTTTTTTTCCTACAAAAAATTTTGAGTGGGGCATCTGTCCCCAATGAGCCTATAATAGCTCCGTCCATGTGTAATGTATTATTTTACTTGTTATAATTAGAATGAATGACAATGTTGATATATCTTACTTCTAGTGTACGTATATTAACAAATAAAATAAATTCATGGGTTATAAATTAAATAGAATAGTAAGTCACATGGTTGTATTTTAACTACACATAAATTTCTCAACAAAAAAAGGAATTCAAATTTGTATACAAGAGAAGCAAGAACATTGCTCAACAAGAAGGAAACTAGACCTCTAGTTTCCTTATTTTATATCTTCCTATCTTTATGTTTACTTGTTTCATATGTGTTCTTTAAAATTTAAGTAACAGTAACCTTAAATTTCTTCTTTAAGAAAAACTTATCTTTGTTGCCAACCGACAAAAAATTAAGTCAAATCTTCACCACGATTAACATATACACCCAATTAACCCCAGATTCCATCACTGTCGACCATTTTCTTAAAACTTCGACTATATATACATAGGAAAAGTCTAAGAACCAAAGAAAATTAAAAAAAATATATCCACTCTCATTGTCCCACTTCCCTTTTAACAAATCTCTTCCTCCACTCCTTCCCACCACACAAAGTTTCATTCTCCAATCATCTCTCTCTCTCTGGTGTGTATGCTTGGCTAGCTACCCGACATGGACGACGCCACAAACAGTAACACCATAAAGTTGGTGGTTTTCTTAATCTTCATCATGGGGCTGCTATTAACCGTTAACCCTGCATCAGCAACTGGTAAGTTAACTAATTATATATTTGAATTTCAGCAACAAATACTTAAGCTTAATTTATATATAATCGCATATATAATTACTCTTTTTATCATGCAGTAGAGACGTACGAGCCAAACCTAAACCAATCAACAACAACGGAAACATTTCATCCCGCCTGTTCGACGGAGTATAAGCTATTGATCGATGGCGTGACTAAAACTCATCACGATACACAAAGGCGGCGGCTAGCGCCGTATCAGCTATGCTTGCAGTGCAAGTGCTGCTCAGCCATCACCTGCATCTCCATGCCTTGCTGCTTCGGCATCAACTGCCAACTCCCCAACAAACCCTTTGGAGTTTGCGGTTTTGTCCCCAAGACTTGCAACTGCACCAATTGCACAACTCCTGCTTGATGCTATATATATATATATATATATATTATAGCTAAGCTAGCTATATATTTAGGTCTCTCTTTCTCCTTGAAAATATATACATCTTCTGGTATATACTTGTGTATTAGATCTTAGCAAGCCCATATTTGAGTCACACTAGTTGCCTCTCACAAGCCAATCAGGTATTGTCATATGAGAAAGTTAGGATGTGTAATTATGTGTGATTGACTTATAGTGCAACAATAACACATTATAGGTAAATTTTCCGATTAGAGTGAGCGAAGGTAATAACATATAACAAATTCGAAATTTGAGAAGTGCACTCTGTTTTTTTCCTATATCTTTTACGTCTAGCCTATTAGATCTTTTCGCCGTCCGGCCAGTTACTTGAGTTCCGCAAGTACGGCGCTTGACTGGAGGAAGGGAAACATCACTACACAGATTTGAAATTAGGGTTTTGAGCCGATGGCTAAAATACAAATGATGACGTCCTTGCACTGTCTGAGGCTTCAGAGGGTAAAGATTATTATTCGATGTTTAGAAATCTTAAAACCAACAAGTTGTTGAGTGTGTTGGTAGGAATTAATTATGCTCATAATCGTTCTAATTTTGTTTGAAGCTCGCTTTGTTAGAGGTACATTTATATTTTCATAGAAATGAGTAGCACTTAACAGTGTTTTGAAGAGACTCAGGCATATATGCAACAGAGGTGTAAGGCTTACAAAAACAACGTATATATGCACCACTTCCGGTTGAAAGACAAATTCTCGTCATTCATGCAGCTGTGTATGGATTCTATGATTGAATGTCATTGCAAAGAATCTCTCAATATGAGAGATCCATTCCAAATAGTGTAATACTAAAATTCTACAACTCCCTTTAGAAAAAAGTGGGTTAACTAATGAAAGAAAGACGGAACCAGATGTATTCTTAAAAGAAAGTGCTACCCATCATGAAACTACTAACAAAGTAGACAATTACATTTCAAACTTTTTCAGAATGTTACAAGTCCTTTTAATTTTTTGAAAATGCTTTTATGTAATGTTTAAGATTGTTTCTTGGAGAGCTAAAATAGTTTTATAACAATTAAAAAACACTTTTGTGATTAAGTTTGGTAAATAAACTTAAAAGTACGTATGGCTCATCGAAGCACCTAGCACTTTGATGTAGATTAATGAGTGGAATAGATTGAAAAAATAAAGGCGCAAATCTGGTAGCAGGAATGAATGTTTTGTATGTTTGGACTCTAGTGCCTGTTTTGGGCCCATAACTCGTCATTTCAAACTTCAAAGAACAAAAGAATAACGAAAAAAGAAAATAAAATACATATCTTGAAGACAAACTTCAAGGAAATCAAATGGAGGGGTAGATTATTGCTGTTACGAGCCTCGGTAAAATAAATTTTCAAAAAAAACCACTTTTGATAAAACTTGGACTCATATATGTGCAAATAGTTAGTCCCAATAACATAAGACGAACCCTTTCAAGTTTCTCATAAAATATAGCCATGCATGAAGATCGATTCTTACATGATAATACTAATGAAAAATTTACCAAATTACTATCATAAAGGCTATTGTAGCCTCATTCAAGGTTCTAAAAGGTGATTGGCGGGCGGCAAGTAGAGACCTAATGTTTAGTCATGTGGGCGGAGTTTAGGCAGCTTTTAATTTTAATTAAATTTATTATATAATATATAAATAAATCTCAATTAACACTTAAATATATATATATATATATATATAATTGTATTCTCTTCCTAAGTTAAAAGTCCTCTTATAAAGTTAGAGTAGGTGGTATTGCCCCATTAGTTTATAGTCTGAACACAGAAAAAAAAAACAACATATTGTACCTTTTATTTCCTCAAAAAACAAACCGCAATACTTATCTTTGGAGCTAATGGACGTTGTTGATGCTTTACATCTTAAAAGATGATTAATGAATTATAATGGGAAGACAAAGACCATATTGATAATATATAGTAAGCGAGGAGTGCTTTTGCAAATTTTAATTAGCTGACTTTTTTGTTAGGTCATCTCCCTAATTAATTAGGGTACCGAGCTCATCGTGCCTTGCATGTTCGAATCAGATCGATCCAGAGAATGACCTCAATTATATATTTAAGCTAGTGATTTTAGCACTCATTGTTTAGTGTTTTAAATTACTTCAGTAAATGTAAAAAGATTGTAAAATACTCAATTTAAAGTGAAGAACGTAAAATATATTGACAAAACCTCTATCTGTAATATAGATTCCTTTTGTCTATCCGATCCCTAGTCACAGTATACTACTATCGTAAGGTTCCTTTCAAAAGCAATTAGCATGTAGAGATGAGACAACAAAAGCAGATTGCTGCCACCAGTTTAATTGTCACCACTCATTTCATCTTTAAGTACCAATATATATTCTCATTAGGGATAATAAAACTTAATTATATTAGGTGTGTTATCAATTAATTAGTGAAGGTGTGTATATCTGATTTAACATGTTTGGACCCAAAATTACACAATCGGCCCGAACAATCGATGTTGTTGAGTGAATGAAGTTCTAAGCCGTTAGGTGATTGAGTCAGGATAATTTTAGTTATTGTTAAGGGATAATATTGTGATTTTTTATCATAATAATTATCTCTTAATAATATATTGAATTATCTAAAGCACAGCTAGGTGATAAAGTTGTGGTGATTTGATATGATGTCGTGTGAATTAATATTGCTGCAATCTCGTGGATAGATAGCATGACTATCATGAATGGACTTAGAGTATGGCAGACTATATTCCATGCATTTATCCAAGTCTCGGCCAAGAAGGATTTTCGAGTTCTTGTTGGCAGAGGTCATCTCATTAGCATTCTCGGCGAAGTGAGGTGTTATAGATTATTGGGCTCGGCATATTGAAAGCCAAGTTGTTTATGATTGGATATTCACAAGTAAGTTTTAGAGTTCAACATTTTGATGGCCGAACGACATTTACTATCAAGACATACATCTCTTTTGAGTACTTGTATCCGTATAGTTTGGTGCCAGTTCGGCCTGCTTATACTCTCACGAATATAATCACCGTGACCGAACCCAGTATCGACGATCCTCGCAAGGCTAGCAGCCTTTCTTCAAGCTCTAGAACGCAAAGGCTGAGACGTGTTCCTTCCTCGGCCGCAGTCGCAAGATCAAGAAGTCAATCATGTGCTCAATGCAACATCAACAAATTTTACTTCCCGGCTGAGCTCGGTCGTCGAGTTGGCACATCCCGCACATAACCGAATGACGTAGTTAGCTTATTAATTACTCGGCATGCGCGCCATGTAGGCTTGATAGTTTTTAGAATCAACACAACATTAAGACATTCTCTCGTTTGATTTCCCATAAAAGGATTTGTTAATCCAAATTAATGAAGAAGGGTAATATGCTTAACTAATTACTGGAATAATCTAAATGCAGCATGGTTATGGAGAAGGAAGTCAAATTAGCAGTTGCACGCTTCTCACTAATGTTGTCACTAGTTTACTCTTCCCGCTCTCCAATCAACATCACCACCAAAGTGGGAAAAGTTAACTAAAATTGAAGAATTAAAATAAAGGAAAACTAATGAAAAAGGCTTGAAAACTTTGAGTTTTAATGATAAGGACAAAATAAAGGGTAAAGTGAATAGTACCAGGATTGATTTTTTAGTGTAAAAATGTGATTTTTCGTTAAAATGAACAGTACCAGGAGCTTTTCGTTAAAGTTCCCTTAAAACAATAGTAAAACAACACAAATTAATTCGGGATTAGACTAATATACTTAACCTAATTTGGGTGCACAAATTAACACGATGTGATGCATGTCTCGATCAGTTGTGAAACCTGAAAGCGGCGGCTATTCTTATAATTTCATCAGGTGGCTGGTTAAAGGTAACTGTTTAAAAAAGTAGCAAGTTAGTAATTGAATTTATTTTTATGTTAAGGTATTTTTGGAATTTTATCTATTATGGTTTTTTTAGCAAGATAAAGACTGCTTTTTCTATAATCTACTGGGGTTTAGGGTTATTTTCCTTTTTTTTTAAACTGTTTTTCCATTTGTTTCATATTTAGACCGTTATAAATACACCTTTGTAAAATTCTAACAAGATGTTGTCCTCTATTATGTACGTAATTATCTTAGTACATTTGTAGCATTCTTCTTTATTTCATGTCTTATATATGTAACAAAAATCAGAGTTTGTAATTAGTTTTTCTTCTTTCTGTTCTTTAATTTGTTAAATGATATTAGAGCGGTGTGTTCCCTCTAGAGTAATTCGCCTTTGATGTCTCGTTCTTTCTTTTGTTTTTGCTTTTCCTTTGGTTTGTTTTCTCTAGTTTAGATCTTGGGAATCTGTCCGTTTTCGCTGTGTTCCTATTTTATTTTTTATTTGGCTCCTTTTTTGGCTCTTTGGGCTTTTGCTGATCTATTCTTTCCTTGTTTTTGCTTTCATGTGTCAGTTTTCATTTGTTTTATTTCAAAGTGGGAAAGAACAACTAAAATGATAAAATAACACAAATTTAATACCGGATTAGAGTTATGGATTCATAAAATTAAACACGATGTGGTGCATGTCTCCGTCAGTAATTAATTCTTATAATTTTCTTTTTAAATTGATCAGGTGCGGCTATTTTTATAATCCTGAAAGCTGCAGCTCTTCTAACTTTATCCAGTTGGCTGGATAATGGTGGAATTTACTTAATGGGGCATTACTCCGATTACTCTCACCAGTCACCTCCGTCAAATAGTAAAAAGGCTGCGCTTTCTCGAAATATTTTATTTTATTTCGACCAAAGAACAGTTATTAGTTTAATAATAATACGTATTATCCACTATAAAATTGTGAAACGTCGTTCATCGTTGTCCGTACGGATGCCACTCTTGCTTGCTTTAACCTGTTGCCGTATTTGAAGAATCCGATGATCTAACTCATGTTGAAATCTTACTACGCATGTGTTCACTTTAGGGTTTGATTATTAGGTTTAGTATTATATTTTCTCCACTTTTATTTCTTTTATACTTATTTTATATTTTAAATTGTTGAAATTTTTTATATTTTTTAAAATATTAAAAATAAATTAAAATCTTCTAATTTCATGCATCTCCTAGCTCCAATAAATCTACTTAATATCTTCTAACAAAAAATTAATATACCTACAAGGTACAAAGACATAATATACCTACAAATAAGACATATTAATTAGGTTGATTATAAAAAAATAAATAAAAAATATGTCATATAAGTAGATAAATAAAATTTACCTGT